GAAGAAATCACTCCCCCATCGTCTGGCGACAATTATTTTGATCTTAATTTGTTACGGACAGACCATTTGAATGCAGAAGAGAAAGAAAAGATCCTCCATCTTTGTCATCGATTTAAAGATATTTTTCATACAGAAAATTCTCCTTTAACCGTTACTACTTCTGTAAAACATGTTATTCGAACTAAAGATGAAACACCAATCTTCACCCGCTCTTATCGACACCCAAAATCAATGCTACCTGAAATTTCCGACCAAATCAATAAATTACTACAGAACAATGTCATCCGCCCTTCTATAAGTCCCTACTCAGCCCCTGTATGGATAGTTGCGAAAAAACTTGACGCAAGTGGTAAAAGAAAATTCCGTATGGTCATCGACTATAGACGTCTTAACGAAAACACAATCGAAGATAAATACCCTCTTCCCCGCATTGACGAAATTCTTGACAACCTAGGACGCTGTTCATACTTTACCACCCTTGATTTGGCACAGGGTTTCCACCAAATCGAAGTCCACCCAGATTCTATAGAAAAGACAGCTTTCACAGTTCCTAACGGTCATTTCGAGTACCTTAGAATGCCTTTCGGATTACGAAATGCACCAGCCACTTTCGAGAGAATGATGGATGAAATCCTAAGAGAATTCTTATACAAATCTTGTTTTGTCTATATGGACGACGTCATCATATTTTCCAAATCCCTCCAGGAACATTTAATTCATATTAAACAGATTTTCCAAAAATTCCGAGAAGTTAACCTCAAGATTCAGCCCGATAAATCCGAATTCTTGAGTAAGTCAGTAGCGTTTCTAGGCCACGTCATAACACCTGAAGGCATAAAACCAAATCCTTCAAAAATTTCAGCCATTGAAAACTTTCCTATACCCAAGACGGTGAAAGAAATCAAAAGCTTTCTTGGTCTGGTAGGATACTACCGACGTTTCATTCCGAACTTTTCCAAAATCACATACCCCATGACACGCTGCACTAGAAAAGGTACTAAAATCGATATCGAAGATCCCAGATATATTGAATCTTTCGAGAAATGTAAATCCGCTCTCAGTAACTCCCCTATTCTCCAATACCCTGATTTTTCCCTACCATTTACCCTCACTACAGACGCTTCAAACATAGCGATCGGTTCTGTCCTTACACAGAAAGGAAATCCGATAGCCTATTATTCTCGCACCCTAAATTCAGCAGAGAAAAATTATTCTACAATCGAAAAAGAACTTCTTGCCATACTCGATTCCTGCAAAGTATTCCGCCCCTATGTATATGGTGTAAAATTTACTGTGGAAACAGATCACAACCCCTTAGTCTGGTTATACAAAATTAAGGAACCCAATTCTCGTCTTGTCCGATGGAAACTCAAACTTGAGGAGTACAATTTCGAAATTAAATACAAGAAAGGAAAGGAAAACGTCGTCGCCGATGCTTTAAGTCGCATCGAAATAAATATGCACGAATCCGAGTCTCTGTGTGCCAACCCTCCAGATGATGATGACGACTTTGATGTAGATGACTTCGTTAACCAATCTTTCGAAAAAGAAACTGGTCAATCAACCCAACATTCTTCTCATGAAAATCCCGTTGCTCTCGTCCCATTCTCAGAAGAACCTATTAATCATTTTTCAAATCAGATCATAATAAATCTAGGCACCGATTTTAACACCAAATACCGTCTGAAGTTCAAGTCCAAACACGAATATCTCATCACTCTTTCCGAAAAAGACTGGAAAACCGACATCAAGACTGCTCTCCATCAAACTATAGCCCCCAATCAACGATACTACATTCTGACTGACAATCCCGATATCCAAAAATATATTTCCGACTTCGTCCGTAATACTTATAACCAAAACATCCAAATATTCTTCTGCACCAAACGAGTTCAAGATGTAGAGAGACCCGAAGACCAATTACGACATCTCCAAAATTACCATAAGGAAAATCACAATGGTATTCTCGAAACACTTAGTCATTTAAAATTACACTATTACTGGCCTAATATGCGTTCTACAATTTCAGAGCATATTAACCACTGCGATATTTGTCTTCGTAATAAATACGAGAGACACCCATATAAATTACCCCTAAAAGGTCCACTTCTAGGACAAAAGCCTTTCGACATCCTTCATATTGACACATTTTCCTGTAATCGAGAAACTTTCCTCACAATCATCGACTCTTTTTCCAAGTATGCCCAAGTGTACAGTATACCTGACAAAATGAATACCACAATCCTTAGCAAATTACGTCACTATTTCTCCCACCATAATTATCCTCGAAAAATAGTCTGCGACGAAGGTACCGAATTTTCAAATAACCTCTTCAAAGAATTTTTAAATCTTCACAAAATCGAGCTACACTTTACGACAGTGAACAACCCGAATTCCAATAGTCCTATCGAAAGATTTCACTCTACTTTTACAGAAAAGCTCCGTGTTATGCACGACGAACGCCCCAAAGAATATTTTACTGATCTCGTTACACATTGTGTTTTAATTTACAATCAGTCCATCCATTCCGCCACAGGTTATTCACCTTTTTCTATCTTACTATATATGGCCCATATGCAGAAGAAATACTTTTTGACAATGACTTACCTATCTACGAAAAATATAACCAACGACATAAAGACGAACTTCGACCTTTCATTGACTCTCTTTATCGAAAACTCCACGATAAAGAAACAGCAATTTTAAATAAACGCAATGAAAGACTACCCGAGATCACTCCTGCTCCAGCACCTGGCCAAACCATATATATTCAGAAAAATCCCCGAAATAAATTATCTGCACCTTACGTATCAGCCGAAACTACTTCTAGTAGCAATACCAAAATTCAGGCCGTTACTTCCAAAAATAGACCCACCAATACCCATCCTAGAAAAATCAAACGTCTAAGGAAAATACCCTTGTTACAGGATCGTCATCCTGACGAACCACAACCTGGCCCTTCAAGTGCACCTGATCCCGAATAATGGATACTATCGTGAACTGATAGGCCATGCTCAAGAGTTAAATCACTATCACCGACATATTATTACTGTTAACCTAACTGCTATCGACGCAACGCTTAAAATGACTCTAACTAACTTCCTATTCCTTAACAAGACTCTCACTACTTCCAACTACCGAATATTTGAACAATATAACCATCTCTATTCCGAGACACTTGACAATTTTCATAAAATAATCCGACCCCGTCAAAGGCGAGGAATTGCTAACTTTTTGGGAACTTTTATTAAATCAGTGACTGGCAACCTTGACGAAAACGATCGTATATTTTTGGAAAGGCACATCTTCAGTATCGAAAATAAACAAAATCGTATAATCAATGTGCTTAATAATTCGACAAGTTATGCATCAGAAACAATAAAAAGATATAATATTCTGATTGAAACCATAAATAATAATACAGTGAGAATCACACAAGATATTAATTTTCTTAGAGATGAATTCCAGCAGTTTATTACTCTTCAAAGCGAAATTCGTAATATTGATCGTTTGAATCAATTCATTTTAAAGCTTATTAGAAGTATAAACCTATCTGCACTAGAACAACCGAACATAGAATTATTTTCACTTTCCGAAATCACTGACTTAGAAGAAAAGCTAAAATCTTTATATAAATCAAATTCTCTTTTATCAGATAATTCACATCCCTTTGAACTTATCGAAAATTCACGTTGTTCATTAATTACCACAAATACTCAGTTACTCATCCTTTTCAAAATCCCGATCCTTAATGATCACTCTTTCCGACTTTACCATATTTATCCCATACATAATGAAGAAAACATTGTACTACTGCCTCCTGCAACTTTCTATGGAGATAATCGCTGGTATTCTACATGCACCGATGTAGGACCAAAAATCGTATGTCAACCCGCTTCCACCACAAGATGTCAGCTTCCCAGCTTAGAAAATTGTACCACTGCCAAGCTTTCCCAGCCTGTCATCCACCAAACAAAGAAAAACCTGATCGTCAGTACAAATGAGCCAATCCAAATCGTTGAAAGATGTTCCCAGACTCACCGAAATATTAGTCAAGCAGCAATTGTTTATTCTTCATGCCCAATCGAAATTAATGGACAGATTTACAGCACTACTTCAGAGCAAATCGAAGTTCCTGATATCATCCCTATAAAGATCCGCCCAAAGTTTAACTTACAGATCAACGAGTTGCAGCCACTCAAAGATGTACCACAGCTATCGGCCATACAGCCCTTACATCTAAGCCCTACAGTGACGTCTACAACAACTTGGTCCATGGCAACCCTAATGCTCATCATCGTCACAGCGAGCATTTACTTCGTCTTAAGAAAAAGAAGAAGACTCCAGACGCTTTTCTTCAAGCCGAAAATTTCCATTGCCGACTTGGAAAACCTAAAACTTCAAAAGTCCGAGGACGGACTTTCAGCTTAGCGAGGGAGGCGTTATAGGTCAAGAACCCGAGGCGTCAGCAAGACGACACCGCCAGTCGCAACGACAGCAGAAACCTTTATTAAAACTATTTTTCTTTTTATATTTTAATTCATTATCATTCCAACTTGTAACACGTTCATGTCTACAAAATAAATATTTTTTAAAAACTCCTTGTTGTGGCTGAGAAACATAATTCGCGAACAAGCGCCGAACTCTGGACGAATTGAAGGGCGAAATTCGCGTGGAAGTCGCCCAAGTTGAGAGAGCGATGTTGGAGAGAGTCTACGCGAACTTCCAAGAACGGCTCCAGCACTGCATCAACGATTTCGGCCACCACATGCCTGATGTGATTTTCCACACTTGACTGTCTCAAATGATATTTCCTTGTGAACCTGATTCCGTCAATAAATTTGTTTTCGAGTAAAAATTAACTATTTCATGATTTTTTTAAAACCGTCCATCCTCTCTGCCGCACCCTGTATTACAGTATGTGTATGAATTTTTATTTCTTGTTGACCGTTAATAACAAATATGGATTTATGTAACTGACGATATAAAGATTTACTTACGAGTTGGATCCAGGTAATGTACTTCTTCCACCACAGGTATTTCTGGTATTTTGGACCCATTGCAGCCACCATATAGTAGAAATACATCACCACATGCACTAGTGAGTTCAAGAATCCAATGACTACACCCTGTTCACCTGAAAAATAAATCAAAAATTGTATATAACTCATTTATCAAGTTACGTCGATGTTTGTTGAAACCCTATGTCTCCTCCACGATGTCACCGCGCATTGAGCGTGTGAGACTGACCCGCTAGGTTTCTTCCTTCAATCCAAACACTGTCGAACTTCGTACATCGAGAAATGGTCGGTACGACCACTCCTTCGTTAGTGGGTTGTCGAGATTGGGGAGCAGTGTGTCTGAGGAGATTTTTCGCACCTGTGCTAATCTTAGGCAGTTCAAAAGTAGTATTAACGCAATGCGTCTTTAGGTTCCTTATAAGCAGTCGCGGTATCTCATGGATGGCTGGTGTCTTGTTCTTTCCAACAGATATGACAAGAGATGTTCCCCTTTATACTTCCTTTAGTGTTGGGCGTACTCTCTAGACATTTGCTCCTCATTAAAGCAATATTATATTGGACTACATTGCTTTTATATAAAACATTTTTTTAAATGCTTATATAAAAAAGTTAGAGACGGGTCATTTTTTATAGTGACACACCTTGTTTGAGGTATCTGGTAGAAGTTACGGCCGGCGACAAACGTCTGGCATTGATGCATATTACTTTGTAGTAACTTTTTACAAAGTATATTTATATAAAAATCAGCCATGACAATTTAGGTTAAGCTGGTCCTATTTTTACGGACCTATTTTACCCTTACCGCTATATCGAAAAGTCGGAGCGTAACTATGCCGCGCTGGCCGGTGGCGTGCGATGTGTTCCGCTCTTCTCTTCCTTTTCGGTACTCGAGTATACTGCGCTATCATTATAGTGATAACCTTCTTAAATTATTCTCAATGAAAAATGATTTTTTTTCGTTCGCGTCTCAAGAGACACCAAGTACAGACAAGGAGCACTACAGCACTGAAATTTTGTATAGTCAGAAACATTTCACCCTCCCATGGTATCTTACCTGGTAGAAATTTGAGGTATCCCCAAGAGAAGAACATTGTAATTGCGTGGTGGTACACATGTAGAAACGTCACCTGAGACTGTTTCTTCCTCAGAACGAAGAACACCGTATCTAGAAGTTCCACTATTTTGGAGAAGAAGTACCACCATGCTCCATTGGAGAGCTATAAATAAGATAATACAAGTTTTCTAAGAAGTGTTCTAAGAAGATGGAAACAGTTTGCTAACATTTGCAGCCTAGTTAAATCATATGGTGCTCGAAATGAAAATTTCGTAAAAGACCCCGCAGAATTGTCAGTTTGAAATTGAAATATTTTGTAACCTCAAAAAACTTCTAAATGCTTTAACGACTTGCAGAAAATGTCCTATAGTTTCTGTGATTTATGAGGAAATACATCTGTCTGACCCACTAATTGTAAATGTTAAAATCGAAATGGAAACTTACAACTTCCTGGAACTCCCGATTCGTGGAAGGATTCTTGCACGTGTGTTTCAACAGTTGCATTGGCTTCTGTACTTTGAGGGCTTGTGAACATAACCATATGCTGAACAGCACTTGGTAAGCATTGTAAGCCACTAAGAGTGTCTGAAGATTGTATGGTTCACGTTTCGCCATCATTTTTGGTCCCAGCTTCAAAACGAAGTAGAGATATGTGATTAGTATCGTAACTACAGGAACTGGTGATTTCATAAACAGCCATGAGTCTACTATTGGATCTGAAATATAAACAAAACTACTATTAAGAGCTATTTGCTCATTAAGTCTATAAACAAACAATATTTTAGTTGCAATATTTAGCTTTAACTATTGCAACTATATATTGGAAAAGAAATGCCACTGATCCCTGTATCTTCGCCACTGGTGCACGTTAATTTTAAGTAAAGACTTTTGAATGTGGACAATACTTAAAATCCACATACCAAATTGTAGTTCGTTTTAGGTGACGGTTTTGAAAATACTAAAAAAATTGTTTATTATTTTTAAACTTCAACACCCGTATCTTTTTAATGGAGCCTCGAGGACAAAATGTTACATAGATGACCCCATTAAAATGCGGTCCTGTGTATGATGTTTCATTACTGGTCACAACTTCTGAATCATCCTGTATAATCCGGATATATAAGCTAAATCTCGGCTTTATCTTAGTATTATTGTCTGCAACGTGTAGATACACACACTTTAAAAAAATTCTCATGAGAAGGGCTACAAAGTCAAGCAAGAATGAATGACGAAACTATACGCGTCGTGGCAGCTTACTCATTTAAATTAGATTACAGTAAGTATGATATCGATAGCTTGGCAATCTAATACCAACATACAGGGTGGCCCAACCATGTGTGGGCCAACTATTACTCATAAACAAATACATTTTGGGAAAATCTATTTATGACATGTTATAAAATGTCTCAAATTTTATTGCATATTTGGATAAACCAATTAAAAAGAAGTATATTGATATAACTTACTATGGAGTTTTGGTAAATAGCTACTGAGATGTGAGATGTTTTGTCCAGAAAAACCGTCCATTCCGGCAACCCCTCAAACCGCCATTTTGAAATTTGGAGTGCTGAATTTTGTATGAAAAAACTTATACACCTCAGCTTTTATCTCATTTGTTACTTTTTCGTATTTCAAGTTTTGCTCATACAAGGTGGTCAAAAACGCAAATTGTACTTTTTCTCAGAAATTTCAAATGCATCACCCTGTATATTTGTGCAAGTTTGGATTCAATTTTTTATAAGCTTTTTTTGGCAAAAGGTTCGATTCAGAGAAAATTACTAGATTTTGAGTTATTAAGCTTTTATAGAACAACACACCAAACTTAAGGAAAAAAATCACATGATCCATGGAAACAAAAGAAAAACAATGGGCTAGTTCCATATTGCCACTAAGGCTCGTATCGTCAGTCGTCCCTACAATTGTAGGGTGCCTTTATGGCCTCCTTGATTGTCATAGTTTTCTACTTCTCCGTGTCAGCACTCTCTTTTGAGGTTATGTCACAAACATCAATTTGCATCAAATTGTGCTTGCTTGTGAGTTATACCATATTTTATCAGCCTGAAATTTCCTACAATTTAAAAGGAAAACAAATCTTTACATTAGCAGAGCGCTGACGCTGACACGGGACAAGTGTAATCTAGAAATTTTTGAAGGAGAGAAAGCAGTATGACAATCAAGGCCATAAATGCGCCCTACAATTGTAGGGTCGACTGACGATATGGGCCTTAGAGTACAAATTTGACGTAAAAACTAATAACAGTCAGAACAGTATAAATCAGCTTCAAGCGTAATACAGAAAAACAACTATAACAACAACATAAACAAATAACTTTCACTACTCAAGACCTAATCTACAAAAACTGCCCGAAAATATCTCCACCATGTTGAATGCACAGCCGTAATCTTTGGATAAATGACCATTGCATGTTTTCCATTATGTTCAGAAAAGCATCCTCTATTCCTTTCCTTCATATTTTCCGGGGTAGATGGTGTATATCTATAAACCTCTTGCTTGACATATCCCCATAGAAAGTAGTCCATCGGCGTCATATCTGGTGATCTAGGAGGCCAAGATATAAGCCCATCACGACCGATCCAACGATTGTTACTCCAGGTGTCGAAATAGTTACGCACACGGTTATGATAATGCGCAGGTGCGCCGTCATGTTGGAAGTACAAATGCACTTTATTTAGCATTATTCTACTAAACTCCATTCGAGCTGCGAAATCCTGAGGACGAAGGCCTTGATGCCAAGCATAGGCGATATGGATGGTACCTATGGTTGTGAATGATCCTTTGGACATATCAGTTTCTGCTCCAATTTGCCGTGCACTTAAATGGGGATTTTTCTGCAACTTTAAAAGAACCTCCAACTGATTCGCCTCATTGATGACACTTGGATTATTTATACATTTTTTACTACATTCCACTGCTTCATTTGATTCAAAACGTTCTCGTAGTGTGGAAAATGTTTCCGGCCTTGGATGTTGCATATTAGGTTATCGTTGCTTATAAATGCGAGATGCTAGGAAACTATTTCTTTGAGCGTTGCCCAAAACGACAACGATATTTCCCGTTTCTTTAGAAAAATTCACACGTTTTTATTATAATGCTCACAAAGCTAATTCTGACAACTAATCAACAATTTATTTGTTTAGGGAATGAAGCCGATCCATAAAAGACGTGCTAATAACCGAAAAAATAGCCGTAAAACCCTTGTGTCTAGTATAAAGAAAAGCTTATAAAAAATTGAATCCAAATTTGCACAAATATACAGGGTCAAAAACCACAATTTGCGCTTCTAACCACCCTGAATGAGCAAAAATTAAAATTCGATAAAGTAACAAATAAGATTAAAGCTGAGGTGTGTAAGTTTTTTTGATACAAAATTCAGCACTCCAAATTTCAAAATGGCAGACTGAGGGGTTGCCGAAGTGGGGGGTTTTTCTAGACAAAACATCTTATAACTCAGTAGCTGATTACCAAAACCCCATATTATGTTATATCAATTTTCTTCTTTTGAACTGGTCTACCCAAATATGCAATAAAATTTGAGGCATTCCATTTGAAAAATCACAACTTTGAAATGTAGATCCAAATTGGGACACCCTGTATAATGTCTAATATTTTAGAAATGTGCCCTCAAATGTCATGTATAACATCCCATAAATAGGTTTTCCCAAAATGTATTTGTTTATGAGTAATATTCCGTCCACACATGGATGGGCCACCCGGTATGTGAGTAAGTCGGAGACGTCATGCATATGCAGCAACATATGCCGAGCGCGGACGATACTAAAAATATTGCCTTATGTTGCTAATCACTATTGTAACTAATTTGGTTCATTATACTATTCTGTTTATTGATATCCCTCAATCAGGATCAATGGTATATTATATAGGATGTTGATCAATCATTTGGCCAAAGAGATCAATGATACTAAGACGAAACATTTCTATGAGTATAGGCCCAAAAGCATGTCACATATTTTTTGAGGTAGCGACTTTTCGTGAAAGTCTGCCGGGGAACTTCAGCTTTCTTCTTGAAATTTACTGAATTTTCGTTAAGATGTACCACTGGAGATCCAAATGAAACCTAATAAGTACTCGTAAGAGAGTGAATAGTATGTTAGCCCTTCAATGGATAAACTAGCGGGTTCAGATCTGGCCATCCATAATAGTGGCTTGAAAAAAGCATTTTCGTTGCTGATTTTATTGTAAATTTGTCATCAATACATCTACTAAATTTTCACAAGTTGTATCGAAAAACGAATTTCCAAAGAAAGGTTTTTTATTCAGCATTTCGAAAACAAAAGCTTTTATTCTTAGAACCATTCAAGAAATCGTCCCCTGAATATTGGCTGCAAGCTTTGCTAACGGGCTGCATATAACTTATTTACCTATTCAGCTACAGAATAACTACTTACCTCTTGATTCAACGAATTCACTATAGTTCTCTACCACCATGTGCATTATAGACGTCATCGTACCGCTGGAGCAAAAAACAAGTGTAAATTCTCCCATTCGAATATTTTTTACAAATTATCATCAAATAAATACGGCGGAAATTCATTTTAAGAACAGAACAAAAAAGTTTTGAGAAAAATTTCAGCTTAATAACAAATCACAAAGGTGAAAGATAAACAACTTTGTACTATATACTCGTACATAAATTAAGCTCAAATTTCAGTTAACAAATGGTTTCTACACGACTTTATCACTTAATGTTTTAAACACTCCAATTGATCTTCCGATCCCTTGAAAAGTATGAATCTCAGGAAAATGTCATATGATCAGTCTTTACTGTGATTCGCCGATATTTATTGTGGATTGTGATACTTACTGACCGTGTGGCCAGTGATAATTGATTTATGAGGTTACTTAAAAAGTGACTGACGCTGACGGAATGATTAGTGAATTCTGATGATACGAACCACAGGAAATACTAATCGTGTGACCTTCTTGATATTTCTCTTTTTCGCTTTTTCTCGTTTTTTGTGTATAACCGATTTATTGTTTTATTTTCACACAATGGATTAATCGAGTGTATCAGTAGCCCTGTGGCCTCTCTGGTGTGCCTCAAAAAGTCCTTATTATTATTATTTGCCCCAGAAAAATCTGTTCTTGACTGACACAAAGGATATCTGCTATAGTTTGCACCTTTTTCAATGGAAGTTATGAGTTTTTCTCCAAGAACTAATATGGAAAAACTGATTTTTGAGATTTGTCCTTCAATCTCAAATATTATTATTCTTGCACTACCTACGTTTTTAACCATCTTTAGATAATATAACTTTTTGGTATAGCAACTTACAGAATCAGTCTAGATTTTTGAAATAAATTAGAAAATTCAGTCACTTGTACAACACGAACGTTTTCTAAACAATATGAAAAATAAACGGAACTCTCACTATGTCTGAGCTTGTCTAACAAGCAGATGATGACCAACTTTGACCGACTCGCGAAGCAGTACTGCAGTACCGCCGGTAAGCACGCGACTGATGAATCTTACTTGTTGAATGAGTACCAAAGTGTGGCATTAATCTCATGAATAATCATACTCAAATGGGAGTAATCGGACTGTCCCGAAAAAAATCAAAAGGAGGTCGGTACTGAATATCATTTTTTAGAACAATACCAATTTTTACGATTGTCAAATCTACACAATCACGACTATCTAGCGTATTGGCCTAGCCAAAAGAAGGTGAGTAGATTTATCGTAAATGAGGATAAGGCGTTTTAGACCAGTACAATAATAATAATAATTTATTCACATTAATATATAACATAGTGAATACATTTCATTCCGCAACAGGATATTCTTGTGTGTGAGAAAAAATAAATACATAAGTACATTAAATAAAAATAAATGTTGGTTACCAAAATAAGTAACCATTATATGTTATACAGGGTATGCGGCATTATGTATTATAAATTTCAATTCTATTGCTACAATACGAGCTTTTTTTGCTCAAAATGGGTGTATATATGTTAATATGTTGTAATTTGGAATTTCCCTTAACCAACCTTTCAGTTCTTTTTTGAATTTAATGTTACTCTATCTTAACTTTTGCTGATATGTTATTATAAATAATAGTGGTGCATGCTAGGTAAATGATTTTAGCATGATATCTTCCTTTGGAATAAGTAAAGTAATTTCAGTTCTAGTATTATAAATACTATTCTTGTACAATATATATTTTTTTTATGTTGATCTATAATAATACCTACAATTTTTGTGTGTTAAGAATTTCTGTTACAGGTTATAAAAGTTCAGATGAGTATAGTATGAGTTTATGGTATATTACTTCCACAACAGATTTTTGTGCTTTTTCAACCAATTCCGTAAGTTAGGTGACATTCTACTAGTGTGTAATGTAATATTATCATCTGTTTTTTGTAAGAAAATGCCTAATGTGGTGGAATTTACACAATAAGGATCTTCATAATATAAGAAATATGGACACTCCAACAAAGTATATCTCTACTGAGATCATGTGCAAAACCGGATATATCAATGTCCAACTAAATTTGATTACATCGTTGAATCGTCAACGTTTAACGATCGGGTTATCCACGTTTGACCACATTTTTAAATAGGGTGTTCATAAAATATTAAATAAGAATCTCGAATATGTTACGAACTACGAGCCCCTTCCCACTTCAGTTGGCCCACTTCAAGATTTGTACCAAAATATGCCTTTATAAACTAAACATGACGAAACTATTTACTTCTAAAACAATTTATTTTCTCAAAAACATTTTAGATACACCCTAGTCGTAAAAAATACATATTTGAAATCACTTTGACCTATAACTAATAGAACATCTGAACAAATAAACAATGTGCGAATAAATGCGCGAAGTTAACAAAGCAACAATTGAAAGGTTACCATTGGGTAACATCACCTTTATTTTTTATTACGGCTGAAATTTTTTGGGGCATAGTGTTAACCAAGTTTTGACAAACATTTGGTGTAAAACAATCCCATATTTCTTGAAGCTTTTTCCTCAGTTCGGTGATTGTACGAGCAGGATGTTGTCGTAGAACCTTTGTCAACTCGTGCCACAAAGTTTCAATAGGTGACAGATCTGGACTGCTAGAAACCCATTTCAAAAGTGGTACATTATTTTCTTCCATCCATTTTATAGCCTTTTTTAAGGTATTGCACGCTGCACCATCTTGCTGAAACACAAAATCTTGGCCGGATGTCAAACATTCTTCCATCACTGGTAAAGGCGATTCTTCTAAAATCGCCAAGTATTTGTTTGTATCCACATTTCCATCAATAAAATGAAGTTTTCCTACTCCTTTTGACGACATACTGCTCCAGACCATAATGGATGCTGGAAATTTCACTTTTCTCTTCAGACAGTCAACGTGAAATGCTTCCTTTTTTGCGAATAACTCTACTGCGACTGTCACCAACACAAACTTCGAATCGGGCCTCATCGCTTCATTGTATTGCACACCATTGTTGAGGTGTCCATTGTCTATGTTCTTTAGCCCATCTAAGCCGATTTTTATTTTGCAGTAGAGTTAATAGTGGCTTTTCTTTGGCCTATAGACAAGTTGTGCAACTTTAGGGTTTTTACTTCACTTTTTTTTATAAGAAAACTTACCTAAATCCTAGTTTGTGGGACTCTCTATGAGTTGTGAACTTCAAAAATGTCCTTACAACAGCGTCACTTCACAAAGCACTTAATTGTAAATAATTGGCACGCCTGTTTTTCACGATTATTCTTCCTAATGCTCTTCGGTCGGCATTTTTGATATTACTTTTTTTCACATATCGTGGCTTAACCAGTTACGTTATATCTTCTAACAATATTTCTCACACTGTACCATCATAAGTCTAACAAAGTTGCAATTTCTGAGTTTGATTTACCAGAATTAAAAGATTTAATTATCAGTAACCGAATTTTGTCACTAATAACCTTTCCTCTACCCATTTTGAAAATCTTAACTACCCAAAACTATTTTAAACGTATTCTGACAGCTGTGATTAATAAAAACAATTATCATGGCTTTTATTTTTCACAGCCACTTATGCGTTATAGACTTATTTTGCATTGAAATGAAAATAGGTTGATATGCTGTAATTGCAACATGTGTTATTTTTATGCTGCAAATTTGATTATTGAGTGATAAAGTTGGTGTTTTCTACTATATATTATCAAAATATTCATTGTTAATATTTTAAACCTATAACACCCTGCTACATTTTTATTATTTGTGTTTGATAAGAAAAAAACTAAGATTTCAATAGTTGGGCCAACTGAAGTGGGAAGGGGCTCGTAGTTTATAGTTTTTTTTTATTGAAAACTTCAGGAAATTGAATTTCACTCAGTCACGGTATCCAACTGCTTTCTGCACTTGCTTTAAAATTCTATAATATTTCTTCATTGGAATTATCCGTACTGCAGGATCGTCGACGATCTTACATATAAGGTGTTGCTGAATCACGCTTTCCAAAATACCATAACTAGCAATAATCAATTGCTTTTATTCGCGTTTATTTACCTTTTTTACACCGACTGCTTCGCTAAGGCAGATGCTCAAATGCCAAGACACCGCGCTGCTATCAGGATCCCAAATAAATTTTGTTACTCGTAATACGATTCTTGAATGGTCTAAGGTTAGAAGAATTGGGAAAAGCTCTCTTCTAGATCGTTCCACAATCTCGACATCCTCGGGACAAAGGAACGGTCGTATCGGCCAGATCTTGGAGACCGACGTCAGGCGGGTCTGTTTGGCAGGCACATCGCGAGGCGGCATCATGGAGGAGTGCTCTGAGGAGCAAAGCGCGTTGGTGTAGCGGTAGAAGAGAATTAGATTGCCGAAGGCCCGCCGGTGCCAAAGGGTCCCAAGACTGTCTGTCAGAGAAGTGTCATCGACCAGTAGGACAACCCTCCTCTGGACAGCATCAAGCAAACATAATGTAGACGGGCGGCAGCACCCCGAACGTGTGAGCAATACTCGAGGCTGGGTCTTATTTGGGCATTGTATAGAGTACTTCTTAGAACTAAACAATCTTTTTCCCAGCATCTACCGCTATTGACGAGATGTGTTCGTGCCAGATCAAGTCCTCGCTAATCTAGACTCCGACCAGCCGAAAAGAACAGCTTTTTGGCAGAACTCGACCATCCATCAAAAAACGGATGGGCGCTAGGAAGCTTTTTGTACGTCAAGGTATAGTGCTGTGCTTTGGAAGCATTAAATTGTACACGATTGTTGCGTCCCCAAGCAGTGATTACCCTACAGGTCTCTCGTCAGAGAGGAAGTCGTCGCTAGTCTTCTTTTTTCCAGCTCAGCAGCATAGATCGGCTTGTCACTCGGAATTCCTGCAGGTAGAGTGCTGTCGTGAGCGAAGTTGTGGGTTGGGTTGATCGTGTAGAAAAGGAGGTTGTTGATATGTCAGAGGAACGGTGTCGGAGCCAAGACCGATCGCTGGGGAACGTTCGCGTTGATGTTGTGGGATGAAGAGGAAAC